CGTTTTCTTCGCTGCCAATGGTTTTCCTTCAAAAAATCCCTGCCCCAAAAAGTGCCATTATAGCTCCGTGACCCAAATATCCGAACATAACGGCGAACAGGAAGGGAACGTAATATTGTGTAAGGAGCTATAAAACAAAACTATAAAATAAAACAAAATATTTACAGTATAAATTCAATAATCATTACAGCCAACAAAATTTTATTTTAGTAACGCATTTTTTTTTCTTCGATATTTATATAAATGACGACAGGTAGGGTGTGAGATTCCAATGTTATAAAAAATATTACTTACTGGGATTTGCTTCTCTGTATGATGCAATACCATAAGCATCAATGAGTGCTTGAAATCCGCTAGTAAATTTATTTGTACGATTGTAAGTCGGAGGATCCTCATGTGTTTCCATTCTGTTTAGAATAGGAGGTACAGAACTGCCACTACGTTCCTTTATTACACAAATGAATTAAAAACCATTCAAAGAAAATCTTATGTAAATGCTTAGATAAAACTCTATTCTCATATAATGATTATATTTATTGAGAATGTTCATGCAAAATATTGAAAATATCAACAATGCAATTATTTTTCAGGTCAAATAATTTTTTAAAAATAGATACATCTACACACTAACCGTTCCTCTCCTAAGTGCTAATTGAATTGTTTCCAAATCAAGCACAGGTACCCAGCATTCAGCAATCAAACATTTTTGTGTTACGTCCAAATTGAACAAATTCAGTGTATGATAAATAGCTTTAATTTTTCGAACTTTAATAAAACCAATTCATAATGTTCTTAGCAGCGGCGACCAGCACACGATGCCTGTGATCTTGAGTTTGTCCTAATACCTGAAAATAGTAATCAACTTACTAAATCGTAAACTGCAAAAATTAACAGACTATTGCATTGCATTAATCAGTTTGCAATCATTAATTAAATATAAGATTATAGACTGTCGATATACAGATTATAAACACCTTCCGCTGCAACAAATTGTTCTCTTTTTCTATAAATTTAGTATCAGCTGTGTAATCGTTATAGAGCATAGGTTCCCAAACTTATTTGTGCCGTGGACCCCTTGCGATGTTTTTCGTTTTGTTATGGATCCCCTATCTTTACTTTTTGATTCATTACTATACTATATCAGAAACTATATTAGAAAATGTATTATAAGTCTGTATATATATTATATTATCGTTTAACGTAAATAAATAGATTTTAACATGGTATATTGTAATACACTGCCGTGGACCCCCATTTCCATTTTGTGGACCCCCAAATTTTGCTTTCGCCGCCGTGGACCCCTTGAAAGTTGGTGTCAATCCCTGGGGATCCATATAGACCACTTTGAAAATCACTGTGGTAGATTATACACGCCTTTTTTTTCTAATTTTGATCTCAAACGATTCAGAATAATTCGAAAAGTCGATAAAACGCAAAATTAGCAATTCTCTTTCGGGAAATTAAAAATCTTAAATCAAAGGAATTGGGGAGAAATGTAATAACTCGTTATACTAGAAATATATGACCAATGGTCATTTAATGCCAAATCAAAATATTTTTTTAAGAATATCTTACTAACCGTGTTAAGATCTTCTATTCTAGTCATGACTCCCATAGCCATTTCTCGCCTGTCTGAGGGTGCTTCAGGGCATGGATACAATGTAGCTCTAAAACCCTCACAAATTTTTTTGACACGTGTTTTGAGTTGATCTCCTTGGAAGAATATGATGAATACGGATTTGAATACTTGATCACTCTAAAAACCATAGAACAAATTAGTTAAACAATAATTTTAATGCCAACAAGGTGATGAATTGAATAAAAATATTAAAATTATTGCAGATGAAATATTCAATGTAAAAAGTAACTAACAAATTGTTAAAAAAAATTGCTACTAAATTTTACCGTTGTAGGATCTTCCAAAGGAGTTTCAATCTCAGCTTGCCTGAGAAATACATTGCCTCGACAAGCCCTCCACAGCATCCGCTCGAACGCCGGAATTCTTTCTCGAAGTATGACGCCAGCCACGAAGCTAAATATCGTTAATAATTATATACATTCGTATGTTTTCGAACAGTCGAACCTCACAAAAATAAATTTTGTTTGTGTTTTATGATTTCATTTAATTCATACTGTGCGAAAAAAATTTTCATTCGTCGAATAAATCGTGTTAAAAGGATAATTAAGAATAAAGACTTCATTAAAATCTAGTGAAAATTAAAACTGAGTTAACACAATATTGCAACACCATGCATAATAAAAGTTATACAAAAAATAAAGCTTAATTTATGTTATTCGACGATCGAAATAAAATCGACATAGTTTGAGTGCACCCAACTTTTGCGAAACATGCTTTTCTAAATCAAACGATGTTCTTAGTTAAAATTATAAAAAATGGAACGAAAATAATTTTGCTTCCAAAAATTTAACGACAATTTTTGACCAGGAATGCTAATTGATTATATGTAAAATGAATGAAGCAATACTTTTTTCATTTTTATATAATAAATTATTCAGCCAATAAACAATAATGTTTTCTTTCAGAATCTTGTGATTTTAATTGGGATACATTGTTAGATAACACGTACGTCTCTTGGCAAGCGTGGTTTAGGATAATTACGGTTTGGGATTTCGTTAATGCTTCTTCAAAGCAAGTTGACCAAATAACCAATGTACAAACCTTATTAGAACATGTAATTAAATATACAAAATTTTATTTACAACTTACCTTGCAATTTAACACTCCTTAAATATGTGTTGCCACAAATAATGAGCATAAAAAATTCTACACAAAAATTAATTATTACATTCTAGAAACCTTTATATTCGTCATTATTATGCAGTAATTTTTAATGTGAAGTTCCGAATGACAGTAAATATATTGAAAACAAATTAAAAAAATGTCGACAAATGATTTCAAATGCTTATGAAAATGTAATGATTCGTGCACGACAATTATTCTTTAAAAATTTATTACTGACCATGGGAAGAATTCTTCTGGTTCGCGCGGTTTTTCCAGAAAACTGCATAGAATATTAAAAAAAACGTCATTTTTAATATTAATTAAAAGCAGGAATATATATATATATATATATATATATATATATATATACACATACATTCAAGCATATAGAATTCAGAAGTACATAATGAAATAAATATAAGTGAGAAATTATTTCCAGTTGTGATACAAAATTAAAATGTTAATCTGTTAGATTTATCATACAAAATATCAAAAGTTTATATTATTACCAACATATAAACAATCCTGATTATCTCAAATTTGTTATTTAAAATTTCTACGTTAGTAATGATAAATACGGTTAAGATATTAGCCAAAAGCGCAATTTGCATAAGCATCTTCAGTAGAACGTGTATAGTTATAAAAGTTAAAAATATTAAAATAAAAAATAAAATAAATTTACGTTAAATATAAGGTAACAATTTCAAGATAATTTTAATCTTATTTTACATAATTTTTACAGCTATATGATTACTAGCTGATAATATTACCCCAGTCATTTTACGATCAATTCAGAATAAAAAAAAATTATTTATATAATTTTGAGAAAGTTGACTATTTTAGATTTTCCAGGAAACAAGAGCAAGTAAAAAATTTTACTGAAAACACTTTCATAAATCAAACGGCAGTGAAAGCATACACTCCCCCATCACAACAACGACTTTTTATGTTTGCTATAATTCATTTTGAGCAAATATTTTACGGCATAAATTTATTGATAAAGTAGCGTGAATGAATTTGTAACAAGAATGTAAAAGTAATAAACGATCGATTTTTAAACAAATTGTTACTGATTGCTCGTTATTTTACTGCGCACGACTTACCCTTCAGATGTATCGTTTAAATACTTTTTGGTTTAGCATTTTTAATGCCAAGAATATGAAACCGCTGTTTTATAAAATTATGCCGTTTGTAGTAATAGAATTTGGACCAGATGTTCATAATAGTCAATGTTAGTCAAATACAGAAGTTGTTTATTTTTCAATGTAAACTTGCTCGGTATTCGAATATATCACAAAATGTGCAGCATTTCAATTTGTGAAATATTTAAATTATTTAAATTAAAAATATTATTTTTGGTAATCAAGTTTGATATTGGCAAAGAAATGATTTTATCAATAAGTCATCTATGCGTGTGATGGGGGACATGAATTCAAAAATGTTATTCTGTTAGCACTATTTAAACGATTACCACAATTCCATAATCATTTTACGTACCCCAATTGAACGGGACCAGCATTAGAATTTCTCGATTCGTCGCTGATCAGCGCCCTGGTCATCGATTCCGTCTGGTTAGCGCCCCCTTCGTGCTGGACGAGATATTTCAACCGGACAACAAATTTTGGGACATTACACACAAGGAACAAAATCAAATACTAATACTCTAAAAGACTTACACAACGATAGGTAATATTGGCATTGGATCATTAAATATTATATCAATAATTAATTCCGAAATAGTGCATTAGCACAAATGAGAGAAAATTAGAAACAAAAAGATTGCAATGATTAGCATAGTTTTTTATTAAATTATACGTTTAAATTAAGCATTGTACTTTCGTGAAAATTTATTTTCAGATTAATTTCGCACTCAAAAATTTAAATCTTCAGTAATAGCATAAGGATGGCTGTGAATCTTATACAATATAATATTCAAGTTTAGAAAAACTCAAATTAATGAATATTTTAATCTTATTTTAAGAATTATTTGAACTATGACTCTTCATTAAAAACAGGCCGAAAAACTAAATATTTTTGCTTTAATTATGATTTAAACGAATGGAAAGTCTAAAGCCCTCGAGTTCTATATTATAGTTTACATTGAAAATTCTGATTTATAAGTATTTTCAAGAAAAAAATTAAAATCTTAAGTAGTTGAAAAGAATATAAAGTAAAAACAAAGTTGAACATTGTCGCAGCAACGTAAGCCAAATTGAAGTAATATTTTTTAATGCAGAAAAATTTAATGGAAGTTAATTCAATGTTTAATTTACATTAGATAGGTGATTGTAGACATGTTATATGGTGTTAATGGAAAATGATATGAAAGGAATGAATCAGTGCATCGTAACCGCATGCAAAAATTATCCAAATCCATTTACCATTTTAAAACTACATCGCATGCATATATATAGTCTTAACCGCAATTTTGTCTATCATGTTTATGGCAATGAAATTCTGCATCGTGTTATATATCTAAAAAGCTGTACATTGGTTATTTGTCAAATATTTCTTATGAAAATTTAAGTTTGTAAAGACGTTAATTGTCTGTATGAGAATGCAAACTTTTGCTAAAAAACAAAAAAATCCACAAATCCAGTCACAAAAACGTAATAAAATAATTAATTTAAATCATTTGGAAATTTGATCATTTCAAGAAAGGTCGTAGTCCTATTAACGACATTTCAAACTTTACAAGTAGGAATTTGATTAATCACTCATTTCAAAATTCCAGTAATTGACATAATCGAAAATAAGACCAGAAGTAAACACAATATTATTAATATATATATATATATATATATATATATATATATATATATATATATATATATTGCCAATCTAATTGCATTTTGGTTTAGATATGATTAGTAAAAAAAATCAATTTAAAAATTCGTTAATAATCTTGCCTGAGAGGACTTCTATATTTGTCATCGTGATCAGTGTAAGATCTCTGTAATAAAAAACAAATCCGCGATTAACCGATATTCTGAAATTTATAATTCCATTCACTTTCTGGGGAAATCCAACACACTTTAATGATAAAGGTTTATTGAATTAATATAATCTAAACCTTACATCAAATTGCTTCACCTAATTTTGAAAAGCTCGCATCCGTTGGGTACATAGTTCAGAAATGTAAAACCATAGGTCAGGCGCAGTACAACACACATTGAATTAAATATATAAGATCAATCATACAGGTAAAAAATCTTAAGGTAGTATATTATTATTTTTTTAAAAAATTGATCTTTATCTCCATTTATAACTTTCGAACGACTAAAAAAAATCTAACTAAAAATTTAATTAGATAATTCGAACATAAATTTTGCAACTAAAAAAACATTTCACAATTAAACCTGACCACTGGTCTTAGCAGCCTAACAATATTCTATTTACCCAAGTTTGAGTGCCTGTCCGCCCGTACGAAGGCCTTCTTCTCCCAGGAGATTGACTTGTTCTTCCTCCCTGGACGGATCAGCCATCTGCGAGGAACGATGGTAGCCTACCTCAGCCTGGCAACACACAACGCACGACAAGCGCGGAACCGATTTCTAACTGATATTTAAATTTCCAACATTTGGCCCCAGAAAATTAAAACGTCCCTATTTACCCTACGCTTCAATTCGTTTCCATTGAAAAATTCTTCAATTGAGAAAATCCTCGAGTGTTTTCGTAGAATTTGCGGTATAATCAGAAGAACAAAAATTATGAATCATAGTGCTTTCCAAAAATCTTCACCACTCTAGTAGTAAAAAACTTGCTATTCTCATCAATCAATTATTTTTCACATCCATTTCCAACTATTTTAAGCTGTAAGCACAGCTGTAAAAATATATTCAAAAAAAGATTTTGTGTGAGTTATAAGATTCTTCAAAACTTATGTTTTAAATTAAAAAAAGAAAGATATTTGGAAAACAGAACGATAAATATTGACTCTGATGAAGGAAAAAAATAAATAACAGCATATATGTTAAGGGGATAATAATATTAAAATGCAAAAAGCTTATAAATCCAAACTATTAGAAATAAAAGTATTAATGCGCTGTAAACCAAAAACCAGAAACCAAAAGAAAATTTAAGAAAACTGAATCAGCAGGGTGATCTAAAAAAAGCTTGGCACTAATTCTTTGCATAGAATTTTATAAAAATACTGAAATATAAACGTATCACATGTCCCATTATGCTTTTCAATGAAATCATCTAATTCTATCCAATGCTACTAGTATATAAAAATATTTTTTGAACAACAATGAGGGGCACTATTCATTGTTGTTCTCGATCTACATAAAAATCTAAAAATTATAGAAACAATATTTTAATTATAGATCTACGATTTAACATTATAAACATGCGATAACAATTTTGTTCTAATAATCAGGCCCAAGGAATAAAGAATTTCGTTTCGGATAAAACAAGAGCAAAGTTGGATTTAGAAACCCGGGCAAGACGCGATGATAAAATATACTAAAATTTCATTAAATCATTAGTAATGCGTGAAACTGAAGACAAGCGAAAACTACACAAATCTTTCCTGATTATGGTTGATCATATATCTAGGTAACGATACGTCTAAATTAACATTTAATATTTATTTTTACCATCAAATTCAACCCTTTTCTAATTTAGCTTTATCGCATTATTTTATATCTTTATTTAAGGGCCTTTTGATGCAGAAATACAAGAAGTTCTTAAATGCAGCAATTTATAAATGCTGCAAAGAAAAACGTGTTTGGAGAAGATAATTATGATTAAATTGTATTACCCAATCGGAATTTATTTTCTGTAATATGGAATTGACCAACAATAAAACAATAAGCGAAGGACATCCATTAAACACGTTTAATTTAGAATTTAGAATTACATCCCTCATCGGTCGCATATCGTCAGTCATTGAAGCAGTTCTAAAAAGCCATTTTATTAAACAAAAAAATTCAGATAAAACAAATTTTCATCAATAAGCAAAATGTTTTCTTGATGAAGTGATGAAAGATACAAAGCACAAAGTTGCAGAACGTTTTTAAATTATGCTTTTCATAAATTTTGTAAAGTAAAGGAAAGAAAAAAAAACTATTACTTTGTTGAATAAGACGATATTGTGTATATATTTTATTATTTACATATATTTTACACAAAATTATATATTATAATACCGTGAAAAATATTATGAAAATCTATACCCTTTTATTGTTGTGTACTTAATGGATGTCGCCTTTGTGTGCAAAAAATGAACCATTTTAAATTGATTTATTTCGTAATTTATAATTAATAGCACGTAAACATTTAATAATTTCATATATTTAACAAAGTACAATTAAGTGGTGAAAGAATGATAACATGAATGCAAGAGCAAGCAACGTGCAGAGTTAAGAAAGTTTAAATAAAGCAGATAAGGGCTGAAATTTCAATTTCGAAGTAATTTAGAAGCCATTTTTCAAATTTGTAACATAATTATCGACGTGTAAGATATTATTTGAATCTTGTAGAACAGAAACTAAAAAAATTGAAATAACAACCCTACTAGAACAAGAATTAGTGCACTCAAATTTAGGAATCCATCGGATAAGTTAGAGTAGGATCAAACGAAAACAAAACGAGTGTGCAAAAGATTTATGGGAAAGGATTAATGGACTGAATTTTCGAGCATTTCTTATTAAATTGAAAATTTCAATAAATCACAAATTTGATTAATTAATGTTTACTCGATTTTATCGTGCGGTTGTTTCCAGGCTAACGTAATAATGATTTGCGAGCAAGATAAAACATTTTTTTAGTTAATTTTTTGCATTACTCAAAATAATGTTTTATCTTTCAAAATGCCAAGTCAATCTTTTTAATTTAATAACTCAGCATTCTTCACATTACCATTCTTTAATAGTTTTATTAAATCCATAATAGCTATCTGACATTTCTGTAATAACTTTTATGGTAAAATTCAAATATATTCCAAAGCATTTAAATAACCTCCACCGATTTTTTAATTATAATATTCGAACAAGTGGTTTTATTTCACTGATTTAAAAAACTGCTATATCAAGTTTTTCTTCACAGATATTTTATGATGAACCAATAAAATTTAATTTAAATTTAAGTGAGCTGCGTTATTGCTTTTTTATTCATTATTATATATATTAACAAATCTCTCACCCCGCGATGCATGCCATTTCAAAATATGACTTTGGGTATAAATATTAAAACTGAGGTGCAAAAATATTAACTTAAACCATTCTAATCTCGCAATAGTTTATTTTAAGTCAACATCCAATATGATTGTAGTTAAAAGGATGAGATATTAAAAAGCAACAAATGACCTATCCACAACAATGACGATTGAGCAATAAAAGAGTGAATATGAATGATAAAAGCTATATTAATCGCTTCAAATGGCAAGCTTAATTAAAATGAAAATTTTAAATCGATCAAAACATTACGTCACTGTTAATAAAGGCGTATTTCTAAATAATTCAATCTTTTCTGGATTTTTTTTATGTTTCAAAGCTTGTACATAACTTATAGAAATTATAAGATCATCTTATAACATTATTATTGTTTTAAAAGAAGTACGAAATCAACTAGTATTTGAAAATTTATTTGGAAAATGTAAGTCATTAATTGCTCTCCGAATTAAGTGAATTTGATCAGAATTCAGATAAAAATCTATGGTTGTGGATATTATGGTGATGTTAGGAGACATATCAAACGCTGATTCAACGACGTGTAAATAGCAATTGATGGCAATTGAACTGCATTATCAACATTGAAGCAATGAAGAATAAATGACAAAAACAAACGCATTCTCGATGATAATTGGTAATTTCTCATATTATCCGCAACTGAACTGAATCATTCAATTTCTACAGTTTATTCCAAAGTGACGTAACGAATTTTCACGATGTGTCTAATGAATTATGTGAAAAATAGAAGCTGAACAAGTTAAAACAAGAAAACAAAAATGACTTATTTTATATGTCTCGAATATAATCTCACCTCATCGAAGAAAACTTGAGTTTTGCGCAATATGTGTTTAAGTTCAGTTAGCTCTAAAAAATTTCTTTTCAAGGTTTCAGCATTACGGTTTACTTCACGTAGTTCATTTTCAAGTTTCTCAAAAGTGGCCTGTAAAAATAAATGTCATTGTAATAATTAGTTTTATGAAATATAAAACATATATTATTTTATTATATTATATATTAATTATATATTAGATGTGAAAATAAACATCAATTGGTACTAGAGTTTGTCGGTATTTAGGGAAAAATTGTGGAATTCGATGACCGGGTTTTTGGTAGAAAATACCCGGTTTTAATGTATATTAAACACTTAAAAAAAAACTAGTGGTTCATTACGAGAAGTTAATAGATAAAAAATAAATATGATGAATGTACCAGATTGATGAAAACATCGTTGCGATACAATTACAGCGGTTTTAAAGTTCTTTACTTCTGGTCAATAATATTTTTTTGTTCTACTAAATTGCATAAAAAATTTATTATCAATAAAATTAAACAGTATATAATTTTAGTCAACAACTGCTTTTAATGCTCGTTCTGTCAAAAAATTTGTTCGAATTATTGTTTTAATAAAAATTAGGAACCGATTAAAACCGGCTTTTAGAAAAAAGCTATTCGGTTTTTGTATAAACCATTTGAGGAAAATTATTTTCGAATTTGTTAAAAGCCCATAATAAATTTATAACTTTGCAAACGATTTCAAATGCAAATATGCACATGTGAGCAAGTATACACATTAATATATATGTATACATTTAAAGATATTGGCTACATGGCCGTTTGGACGCATGTCAACCAATGAATTAAATAAATTAAACTATATAACAAATTGCTTATGATAAAAACCTCAAGATCGATCATTTCTCTAGGCTGCGGAGCTTCAGGATTTTCACCCGTGTCCAACATAGGAATACCATCTTTTCTAATTTCCTTTTCTAAGTAACGAAGTTTTCTCTCCATTTCATCACACCGCCGAACTTCGTTAACAAACTTACGCTGAAATGCATTGACATCAGGATTCAACTGAAAAGGAAAAAATAAATATAAATCGTCTTGTCTAGACTATCAGATAATAAAAATAGTTTTGTTTCAAATTCTTTGAGATAATCACTTTACTTTCTCATTTACAATAGCCGCATCTGCAAAAATTGTTCCTTTTATACGCATGTGTATATTTTCTATACACAATTTAGTCACAAATTATATTATGCAAAATGGAAATACAAAACTTAAATAATTCGTGAGTTTGTTAAGTGTCAATTTGAAACGGTCTGGCTATTATAACTTTTCGATAATTAAATATTAGTAGTAATCATATTTTAAACTAAGTTTGCATGCAAATCGGAGAATCACAACAGAATAATAGATTGGCTCGGAAAAATTTCTATCAAACATTGGTGAAATAAAACTTTCCATAGGTTAGATCAATTAAGCCTAGAAAGTATAGTATGATGTTTAACTACTGATGTACTAAAATTAAAGCGATAAAACATTAATGTAGTATTCATAAATATCATCAAATTTTAAATGACATAAAATAAATATATTAGCTATTTTAAACGATTTCATCAATTTTTCTTTGAGACATTTAATAATGTCGACACAGTTTTTTTTCAATTAAATATGCTTTTTTAAAATTTTGTAAATAAAATGTAAACTCATGTAATTATAGAGCAGTCTTCTCGAGGTCGAAATCAATGTTTACGCCCAAAAATCCGATTCTATAATAACGCCGTTTCAACTCATTTTAAGACAATATAGATATAGCTTATCCAATCTACAAAAAAATTTAATAAAACTAATTATGACTAATACCCCGATAATAATCATTCGAATCACTTCTCTCTGACTAGCGTTCAATAATAAAAGTATTCGTTCATGTTTGAAAATGGATAGGTAAATCGTTTTATGAATTAAGCAAAAAAATCCTATGTGTCACAAATTTGAAATTTTATTTCATTGCTATTCTATAGATATCAACATATTCATTAATATCAACAAGTCCTTCTGACAATAGGACAAAAAGAATTTGGTGTCCATCGGTTGAGTATTGATAACTAATTCTTGATATATTATCAAGGTAGTCAATCGATTTTTCTTTTGAAAGTAGTCAATTTCTTTTGAATTTGAATGTCTAAATTTCTTCGAAAAAAGAAACTGGCTTAATTATTATTGGGTAAAGATACTAAAATCGTTTATTTATAATTAACAGTTTTAAAATTTTAATATGTGTAATTATTAAAATTTCACAAAATTAAGTTGTCTGTATTTGGCGTGCGATATATGTTTTTCAATGTACCTACTTGTTAACGTTGAACACGAATATAAAGTAAACTAGTGGTGTATGGCATCGTGCCTTAAGGCAAATTGCTGGAACTTCCCGTACCGTAATGAAATATTCGAAAAATTTTAAACGTTTTCAAATATATTATTACAAATACTGTAACTTTCATTATTTTTGCTATGTTGTTATATGTGAGCAAATCAAATGTAAATCATAAATCAATTTATATCCAGAACATTAACAATCATTTTATTTCGAATTCAATTTAAAAAAAATAGTTGCCTAATTCTTTTACACAACCTGGAAAGTGCTCCAGTACATAAACAGTCTAAACGCACTTGGGTAAACATTTGTACCAGAGTGGTGCTTAGACTGTGCTTAGCCTGGGTAATTTTTCGAATTTTTAATCCAAAATTACAAAAATATTTTATGGAAAATAAATAAAGATGTAATAATTTTTTATCCTCAAAAGCAATTGTTTTGTCAATAGAAGTAGAAAGTTTTTTTTAGATAATTCAAATCGGACGCTTAGTTAACTCAAAAACTGCCATTTTTTGCACATTTAGCTCTGTATCTTCGAAATGGCGGGACCTGTCTTTGCCAAAAACAAATCACCTCTTGTCCCAATCATTACTGCACAAATTGAATGTTTTTTAGATCATTCAAATCCGATTCTCCGTTCTCTCAAAAACTCGATTTGTATTTTCTGCACTCTTTGCTCCGTATCTCCGTAACCACTGGACTTGCCTTTACCAAAAACTAATCAGCACATCTCCCTATCAATAGGGATCGAATGTTTTTTGAACCATTCAAATCGGTTGATCCGTGCGCCCGAAAACGGACATACAAAACACACACACATCCCATTTTTTCGTATGCCAAAATGTTCAGAAACCTTTAAAACGTCGAGAAATGCAAAAATTTTCATTTTCGATTTTCGGCCCATTACTATAACTACCCTACGGAAAGTTAAAAATAAGGATAAAACTGCAAAAAAAAACAAGACAAAACCTCCGACTTGTAATTCTACTGCATGGTGTTTAAAATTTTGTAATTTATGTGTTTTTCTGACCATTTTTCATTTAATTCACCTATAAAACTGATTCGTGCAACGATTTTTTCATCTTTCCTGAGCTTTTTTTGGAAAATGCATCAGCAATCTGCAAACACATTTTCAAATAACCGCAATTTGCGGTCCGCAAATATTTTTGCAAATTAACTAGTGGCAATAGATATTAAATATGTTTACAAATTTCTGCTGGATTATACAAACAGAAACACAAAGATAAAAAAAAAGTTGCAGAAATACGTTTCTCACTTCAGTTGAAGAAAGGAGAGCTAGGAAACGACAAAAATTACAAGATTTTAATTATCATGCAGAAAAATTACTTTGTCGCTGTCGAATATTTTGTCGTTATTTTTTTTTTCTCCGATTTTTCGCAGTTTGTTCCCCCATTTTGACCTAAGATTTGTGTTTAGTGTTAAAAAGTACATAGAAAAACTTATGTCACACCTAATACAGACAGTTTTTTTTATTTTGTGGACCTGTGTTATCTTTCTCAGAAAATCACACACGGATGCTACGTATCCTAAACTTATTCGAAATATATCACGCTTGTTATAAAAATTTGAAAACTATTAGAATCTAAAATAGTAACTGCAGCAAATGCTTCTCGTTTTCTGCAATTTCAAAAATTCAAAAATTAGTCAGTAGATCACAAAATGGTTTATGCAGTCGAGAAATCAAATCCAGTATTTCAAAGAGAAAGTTTGTGCCACTTATTCAAAATACCCGTGATGTTGGGTGCGGAAATTTTAAACATCACTACGTAGCATATCACCAAGGCAGAAGGTCCAAAAATCCTTAAAAATCTATCACCTGATTAGCAGAAGTCCCCCTTAAATCAAATTATTAGAAATATAATCAAATTAGTGTAAATAGTTTTATAAGATAATGGTGTAAATAAGTATTATAAGAAAAAGTAAATTCAGAAGAAAAAGCCACTTCCACATATTGAAGCTTATCAGATTTTTTCGAAAGAAACATTAAAATGACGTATAAATTGTTCAAATACCAAGGTGTACCCGAAACACATTGCTATAATTACGCTCATATACTGAAACAAGATATTAATCAATGTTTCGTTTGCTTGTTCAATCACGTTTTAATTAGGTCTAAACGGTAATTGTTGACATTACTCTTTATGCTTCATTACGTTTCTGTTATGTCTGTTTATAGTTTCAATTTGTGTGTTTTCAAAAACAAGTTCATCACGAATTAAACATATTATTAAACATGTCATTGCATTATTATGGAATTTGTGTAATACAGACTTATAACACTTTTTGAAAATATAGAGGTAAGATTAGATAAGTTTTCAACATCGATTTTTTTTGACTATGTAAATAGTAAATATCCGATTAATGTTTACTTGACTATTTATTTATTTAAGTCAATTTTATATTATAAACACCCAAAATATTTTTTTTTTGAATTCATGTTTTTATATGAAAACTATTTTAGTGCAAACTTTTATTTAGTAATAAAAGCAAAGTCGTGGACTAAAATCTATATAAAAAAAATATTCATTCGTTTCAATTTTTTCTTAGTAAAATTATTTGTTATTCAAAGTATATCTATGTTAGCGGATTCCTATAAATGGAATAATATCTATTTCTCCATAACTTCAAGAAAAAAAAAGACATCAGGTTCTGTAGAAATGACTTTATCTTATCTTAAGATAGTAGTTTTTGTGGTGGGCACAAGATGAATTTCGAAAGAAGGATGTGTTAAATCTTAGTGGCTAGTTCATGATAGGGTATCGTATCCTTAATCACGTGATCGCTTTTTAAATATTTTTAGGTATATTGAAAATTACCCCCTTTTCCCCACCGAACATTACTTATATTTTTAGTACCAAGAAAAAATCGCAAAATATTTGGATTTGTTTAAATAATAATAAAGAAAAATAAAAGATAAATAATAAATCCCCATTTTGTAACCCTCCCCCTTAAACCCTCATGTGATAAGGCCTTCAAGAATGTGGTGCATCTGCGGAATCAAATTGTCTGACAAAAGTTAGATAGCAGTTCTGATCTTAGCATATTGTCAACATAAAAGTGTAGTGCATCTAATCCATACATAAATTTCTTCACTAGATTTCTAAACATATATAGCTAGAAGACACGCCGCTGGGTGTCGATACTATCTTCTAGTTTATATTGTAAATTATTATTAGCAATCTCTGCTTAATGTTAATGCTCATGTAAAACTGATTGCAGAATAAATTAAATAAAAAAAAAGATTTCTAAACTTCTGATATTGATTGAATCGTAGTGTAATTGCATTGCTCTCCGTAAGTCTCTTTGGCTACTATAAGTATCTACATATTTGTATCTTCTGTCCGATAAACAGAAATCACTTTCCAAGTTAACAAAGATGAATGAGAAGCACATGATGACAGCACGCCAGTACCTGATGTAGTTTCCAAAATTTCGATCAAACAATTTTGATGTCGAAGATGTACCACTACGTTGTGAGGTACTAGCAACGTTGTCATATGATGAATCCTCATGAACTATCTTTAGGATTATCTCTCTTATGCAAGTGTGCACACCGAGATGTAATGTAATGACTGTGAGATAAAGTAAAGAAACGCACACCCGCTTTAATCAGCGATCACACAGTATTTTATAAACAAAATTAACAAATTAATAAGAACTCATTTTAAGCTATCGGTATTTCACAACATTCATATGTAAGAATGCATAAATGATTTTTGGAACCCCCTTCCTCCTTGGTGATACGTAATTTTCAAAATTACCTGTCCTCCTCAACCAATAATCACGTGTATTTTTAGTTACGTGAAAAAATTGTAAAATTTATTGAATTTTTTTTGAAAATGTTTGGATTTCTTTAAAAAAATTCAGATAAAAAATAAATACACAGTGATATCTTAATATACCCCTCTCTCCCCACGTGATATTTCGTGATTTTTTGTCAAACTCTCCCTCCCGCTAAAAACCTCGTGATTGTTGAAGTAGGTTGGTACAATAAAGTGTCCGATCGAACTTATTAATATTATTAAATTAAAAATTGCATTATATGACAAAATAAGGCTTCTAGGGCACAGTATAAAAATCTTATGTCCTAGAAACCATACGAAAGGTTATACCAAATTTCTAAAGTTATTTTGATCTAGTAGTCCCCAAGAATGTAATAACAAAAACTCAAACATTCAAAAAATTATTATAAGGCAATTGGTAAATATATGCGTATCAGCATTTCAAAAAAGTAATTTGATACAATAATGCAGTGATAATTCTTATCACAATTACTAGATTAAAATTTGCATGCATTAAAGGGGTAAAACTTTAGAAATTTTGCTTTGCGCAAAAAATTGTATTATATGCGAATGAAGCTATATGAGAATAAATAAACCAGAATTCTTAGAATGAATTTTTCTGTACTTTCAATGATAGGTGGGGAACCTGCAGCCACCCTTTGCTATATAGCATAAAATGGTACAATTCCTTTCAAATAACTATTGAACATCAACGTCATGATAGTTTCTGGAAAAAATTTACCAAAGACAGTCATATTGTAACATGACGTCAGATGCTAGCCTAAAACACAGACTAACAGATACAAAATATTTTTTCATTGTATTATTTTATTTGTATATTATTTTTCAAATTCGGCAGTATTTATATTTTGTTTTTTTTTTCTATATTATGCAATAAATATTTAAATCTATAGAAAAAAACTATAATTTAAATTAAAATAAAATAAAAATTTCACAAAAGTCACTTCCTAAAGTCAATCAGCTTATGCGGCCTCTTTTATTGCTGCCGGCCTCTGATATTAAAAAGATTCCCCACCTCTGATATCCAATGATTAACTTCGAGCAAGAATTAGTTGAATAAAATTTGTTTCGATGGGTTGCTGAATAATTTATTGAAGGAGTATTGTGCAATATAAGGCTTATAATAGATTTATTATAACTGCAATAAATACAAAATCAACTTACATCTCGAAATTGCACCAGTCCCAGTTCTCCCAACTCGGAGACGCAGGCGTATGCCGCCTCGCTCTGCAGGAACAGCTGACAGAGGGACATCTCCTCGCTGCGGAACAGCGATCCCATCGTGGCACAACTAAAAAATAAATAAATAAATAAAAACAAAATTGATAAAAATGCAAACATTACTAAATACAAAAATTTCAAGTAAAAATTGCGGTTTCTTTATGTAATTTACTTAAATACATAATGGTATATAGCTATGACTATACTTCAAAATACCACAAAAGGAGCCGTCTATCAATCACTTGAGACCTAAAGAGGTCTAGTGAGATATCACGCAAAAAAATCAAAATCGTTCAAAAATTTTCAAAAAATTTGGAAACTTATAAGTGAAAATACACATCATATTAAGTGTATTAATTAAGGTTCAAAAATCCTTAAAAATCAATCACGTGATTAATGGACGGCTCTAACGCATAGGTATGGCTAAATTTATAAAAGTATATTTATAATCTGTATTATGAAGTAAGTGTATTTTTTGAAAATATCTTGTCTCAATTTATGCGAAGACAAACTGGAATACGTATAACAGAATTATGCATTTAATAATACTATTTGCAGTAACAAATAATTTCATTATAACAATAATTATCATATGCACTTTAGAATATGACATACTAGTGGGAATTTAAAAAAAAGAAGTATTATTTCTTAAGCATTATTCAATAAATTCATGTTCTCAATATACATTAGAACCAAAACGGTTTCTAATTGGAATATAATGATTAAAGTATGTTTTATTTAGGATTCTTATTATAAATAATCCTTAATTTCTTCTGCAATACACTCATATACAAAAATCAAGTTCTTGAACTTGATTGCTCATATCGAAGCCATTATTATAAACAATGACGGATTTGACGACATTGCGTCATCAAAACAAAAACAAAACTTAATAAATATTTTTCTCACATACAATTCTATTGGTATTGCTATTTTTATAAAGATATTTCTTTATCAAAATCTTGTTTTGAAGAGAAAATTTCCTGTGCAAACCAATTACTTAAAATTAATCTTATAAGAACATTAATTTTGTTTTGATATTATTGATACTTCACATAATGTAAACTAAAAAACATTAATTGATTTCCAATCTTTTTAAAGTAATAATTCTGGATAAGTTGAAAAATATATATAAACGAAAAAAAATCAAGCTGAAAATCCAACAAGTCATGAGATGATAAATTTAATAAGAAACAAATCTAATAAGAAATAGATAAAAAGTTAAAACTGAAGTAAAACAAAATGTTAAACCAAAATATAGAGTAAAAAATGAAATCATTATTAAATATAAAATAAATATAGTAACGAGTGTAATGTTTATTTGTTATCAAAGAATAAACAATCTTCGTAAATAACCCGTTTTGGTGCATAAAATTACATAATTACAAGTCATACATATTAGTTAGAAAGATTTTTACTAGATATTGATTATTCTGCATTAGGGTTTATACAAAAACCGACATTTTAGAAAACCGGTTTTAGAATTGCAAATTTTCCAGAAAACCTGTTTTCGAATTTTATTTAAAAAATCCATTTTTGCTCAAATATTCTGTAATCAAAAAATTATCTGTAAATTAGTGTGATTTAAAGCAACTTTTGACTGTATTTATTTAATGTTCAATTTTATAAATAGTAAACAAATTTATTAACTTCCCGTAGGGTAAGTTACTGTAATGGGCTGAAAATCGAAATTGAAAATTTTCACATTTCTCGACGTTTTGAAGGTTTCTGAACATTTTGGCATACCTCAGAAAAAATGGATGTGTGTGTGTGTGTGTGTGCGTGTGTATGTATGAATACAAATTTTCGCCCACGTTTTCGGGCGTACGGATCAACCGATTTGAATGGTTCAAAAAACATTCGATTCCTATTCATAGGGAAAAGAGCTGATTAGTTTTTGGCAAAGGCAGGTCCAGCCTCCGGAGATACGGAGCAAAGAATGCAGAAAATAGAAATCAACTTTTTGAGAGAACGGAGTATTCGATTTGAATGATCTAAAAAACATTTAATTAGTAATGATTGGGAGAAGTGTTTATCAGTTTTTGCCAAAGGCAGGCTCAGCCATTTCGAAGATACGGAGCTAAATATGTAAAAAATGGCAGTTTTTGAAAGAACGAAGCGTCCGATTTAAATGATTCAAAGAACTCTCTGCTTGTCTTAACAAAATAGTTGATTTTGGAAAAAATTTTTTTTTTTTTTTCAATTTTTTGTATATCGAAAATAATTCAGATTTTATTTTTAATTCTGACTATAGTTCTAATATACTTTACAAATAATTTCAACTTTGCAATTCAGTTTATATAATTCTTATAAATATTAGACAATGATACAATATTTATAATACACCTAAGTCTGTTTTTACACGGTCTTTTTGTACACGGTTTTGATATAACACGGTTTGAAAATTGAATATTTTTAAATTTTTTACACGAATTTATTCCATTTAGCACGATTTGAAATTTTATGTACCTAATTTTTTTTTGTCAAATTAAATTTTTGCGAAGTATGTTCATATCACAAAAAAGTATTTATGAAAGAAAAAAGTCTGAAACCATCGATAGTATCGATAGTTTGCGAACACTAGCTTAAAGATTTAAGTGAATTCCCTTTAGCGTGTACAAACAATTTTTACTGGTCAAAGCAAATGTGAATAGCACTAATTTAATTCTTGTTCTTAAAAATTCTTGTTTTTCACCAATTTTAATAGGTTTTAGAGATTAGGAACAAATCACCCATTTTTGTATAAGATCAATGTCTTTTTTACACGTTTTTTTTTTTACACGGATTCTTCTGGAACCAATCTCCGTGTAAAAACAGACTTAGGTGTAATCTATTTGAAAACATTCAGTATTCCTCGAACATTTTGCTACGGTACGGGAAGTTCCAGCAATTTGCCTTAAGGTACGATGCCATAATTGCCTCAAGACAGAATTGCACTTACAGCTAGTTTTAATCTTAATTAGTAGAACAGAGTAATAATAGTTGATCTGGATTGAAGAATTTTGAAAATGATTATTCGTTATTTTTATGATAGTGAAAGAAAAGAGTTCAATTTAATAAATATAATACATTTTTAAGTAACAAAAAACTTAACTTGTAATTAAATGAAAATATTAGATACATATTGATACATACTTCTCAATGTTAATTTTAGTTTTTAAAACAATTAATAAACCCCGAGTTTATTGTCTCGAACAATTTCAATTAATTAATTTCAAATTTTAAATTATTTTTTGGTTTAATGAAATATGATTGCTGAAAGCTGAGGACGTCTATCGATTTGTTATTTAGAAATGTCCTATGTACAAAATTTTACGAAATAGAAAATACTCTCCCACTTCCAACCGAACTTAGTTTAATCATTTTTAAACTGTTCTTTTAATTGCGGTTTCTAGGGCTGAAAACTCTTTAAAGTTTGAGTAAAGCAATTCACTCCTTCAACGCGAAGTCGCTTTGATCTAAATTAATATATCTATTAATATAATAATCTAAATTAATATATACATTAGACAAAAGATAACAAAACTTTTCTGAGAACTATAACAGACTGATATGGTTCCAAATTTTAGGAACCGATATGATTCCAAGTATCAAAACGGTTGCTTCCATCTAGTATATCTGTCATTTTCTATTTAAACAGTAAAAACCGATTTTCCGCTAATTTCATAATTATCGTCAAAAAACTTTTTTTTTAAAACCGACAAACCCTATTCTGCTTGCTGTAATTCTTTTATAAAATTAATGAAAAAGCGTAAAGAGATGGAAAAAAATAGAATGCTTTTCCTAATATTTTTAAATATCAACCATTTAAGAATTATTGCTATACGTACCTAAAAAATTTGGTATCTAAAAATAATTAAAAATGCTAATTATTCATACAATCAAACATAAAAAATCTAATATATATTTCTTTCAATAATGATTTAATGAATAAAATTTTTCAATTCAATAGAATGATACAAAAATATTTATCAAATCATAAAATTGTGTCATTAATACAAAATAATAATTGTAATAAAAAAGTTGATAATTATAAACCTTATTTCGGTGTCTTTCAAATGATCGAAAAACTTTGTTCGAATCGAAATTTCAATGCCACATAAGACTGTCGAATATCCCGTTATCTGTAAACATGTGTGAATCGAAATGATTAATACAGATAACAATTCCATACTAACTAAATCATATGCAGAGGATTAAAAAGGGATCGGATTTATATCGAATGTACATTGGATTCATAATCTCATAATTTAGATGGGAAATACAACATTAAAAAAGTAACATGAAAATATCTAGCTAAATAAATTCTATATTTTAACTGAGTGAGTGCCAAGATGATGACTTATTGATGGTAACTAAATTACAAAATTTACAATGTCAATCAACATTAATCGCGCCAATAACACTTTTTGCACAACATAATTCTTAAAAATCAATCATGGGGTTTATGAAAACAAATCATGAAGATTCGCTTATAATTATTAATACCTTATTAGGAATATTGAAATAAAACTTTCTTATTGTCATTGCTGGCTATTGTATGAGGTACATGTAGATTCTAGTCCGAGCCCCCTTTGAAATTGTAATATTTTTTTGAAAAATTTCGAAAATTTCAACACTTCATATAAGTCGTATATCTCGAAATCTTATGTATTTGGATAGTCCAGTCATTATAGTAAGATACCCATCTGTAATTCTGTAAATACTTGTATTTTGCTCCCTAAAAGTTGTCTCAAAACATGCTGCGAACACTCTGCCATATGTAGGTTTTGAGACAACTTTTAGTGTGCAAAATACAAGTATCTACAGAATTACAGCTGGGTATATCGAATTCCGAGGTTCTGACCTAATTAAGCTTAAATGACTGGATTAAGATACATACATTTTTGGTAGCAGATTTCCAACTTCATATTTATTTATTTATTTATTTATTCATAAGCAAGCCGCAATCAATAATAATAAATATTATTTCAGGCTCTTGTCAAGCTTATACATAATTAATATTTAAAGAAAAGTAATTTTATAATATTCATGATAAATTCTAAGAGCTGCACCTCATTCCGAACGATTTTTTAACATAAAATACCAAAAAAATTAGTAATTCTGATCAGACTTATTTTCGGGTTTTGGCGTTTTTGACCCAAAAACATAGGAGTATTGAAATGAATCTTTCTTGTTATTTCTGGCTATATGTTGTAAGTTTAAATTCAAGTGTGAACCCCTTAGGGGGCGTCTATTAATCACGTGAGGTCTTTAGGGAGAGGGGTGATTTTACAAAAAAAAAAAACACGAAACATCACGGGGGGGGGGGAAGTGTATGGTAAGATATCACATGTATTTACTTTCAACTGATTTCTTTAAAAAAAAAAGCATTTAAAAAAAAAATCAAAAATTTTAGTTTTTTCACGCAACTAAAATACACGTGATATTTGGTGGGCGAGAGGGGAATTTTGAATATCACCACGTATCACCAAGGTGTAGGGGGGTTCAAAAATCCTTAAAATTCCGTTCACGTGATTAATGGAAGCCTCCTTATACTATCTATACGAGCAATCGTCAAAAATAGTGAACTTGTTTTGATATTTGTCGAAAATTTCAAAATTTTGAAGTCGTATATCGAAAATTTAATATTTCAATATTTAGTGTAATTATTGAATTGTAATGGAAACAACAAAAGCGTCAACAGCGATTTTACTAATTTCTCAAATTTTGTAAGATTTAAAAAATTATTTTTCGGGTGATCATATATATATAATTAAAATATAAAATATGAACGAACTAGAAAGGCTTTTAAGAACCTGCAAAAACATACAACAATGCTAAACAAGCACATGATTACCTGTGCAAAAAATTCATTTTTTTTGCTCTTTTCGACACTTATGTATCAAATGAACTATTACGCTAATTTTAACGGGATAAAGAGCAACAGTTTAAGTAACGAATCAAGAATGTTTTAAAAAATTAGAAAATTTATTGACACGAAAAAAGTCAAATATTTTGAACGGCATAAAATAGTTATAAATTTTAATAGCTTATTTTTTAACAGTACAAGCATCGGATGAAGTACATTACTTCTAGCAACTTATTGACGGAAATTGGTAATATAATTTTATTAATTCTGTAGAAACCCTGTCGAGCAGTCATGACGTAATATGACGAACATAAAATTGATATTCAAACAAACAAGTAATTATTGGCATAATATTCAATATTCATAATTTCATCTAAATCTTCGAGATTGTTTAATCTGAAAAAAGAGCATCATTGCATTTTCCTCTATTATTAGTTAGGTCTTAAAAATTGTTAACAAGTTTTGTTGATGCTACTAAATAATAGTCACAATGCCAAAAGTAAATGTTCATTAAAATGCTTATCAATCACTTCATAGTTCATCGTTCAATAATTACACAATTATAATAGTTCCCTTGCATGTATAATTTATGACTAAAGCTAGTACTAAATCTCATCTTACAATATACTCAAAGCATGCAAAATAAAATCGATAAATGTAGTTTCTACTTGCAAAACTTATTATCCTGATCCAACTGTTTTCATAAAATTATACGTGATAACACAAAACAAATTTACATATTCACACATTGAATCGAAGTAATGAAAATAAGATTAAATCGATTCATAATGGAAATACATCAAGGACAGGCAAGCGTAAACATTTAACTCGTAAAGTGCAATTTAATCATAATAACACAAGTAAAATTAATTGAACACCCACTTTTTATTATTGATTGCACTCCAAAATTCACAGAAATCGAATTGCTGTCACCAGTACGATTTCTCTGCTTCTGTCAGATCCCGCCAACTGGGCGAACACGAACTCGAATATCAGCTCGGCGATGTGCATGGGTTGCCTGTGTTGAAATAATTGTACTATTAATCTTGACATTTGGATAAAAAAAAAAAATTAATTAATATATATTTTATAATTCTGTCTAAATTGATTCACTTTATAGCAAATATCTAAGTTTTCTAATTAATTTGATTGACTATAATTAAGTATATTATTATCGAAGATTACCAAAATAAATTTTTATGAGCGGTTATTTAAAAATGTAATATGATTCGGTTCGTATGCATTAGATAATATGCTTTTACATAATTTCACTTTTTACAATTTTTGTTATATAATTAGGAGGTGTCCTTAAAAATAAAATTTCTATTTACCTAAATTTACAAAAATATAATATAATAAAATAAAAATATCTTTAATAATAGCACATAGTGAGGTGCGCTTTAATTTTCAAACATTTAACATTCAAAATGCAGAGGAAATAGAAAATGAAAATGAAATACTTATAATGAAAATACATTGAAGTTATATATAACAAACAAATCATTATGAATTTAATAAGTTTATTACCTTTTATTTTTATTATATTTCCTTATCAAATAGTTTTCAAACCTCTAAAAATTATTTAAAAGCAATTTTTATCATATCTGCATTAAACTTGTCAGAAAAAACTTTCAAAAGCAAATTTTCCAGAAAAAATTTACATACTTGCCATTAATATACTAGCTTTAATAATATTGCTCTAACCTAGACAATATTAGAATATGATGGATTCATAACTGGCTTTAACTACTGCCCCTTCTTATAAATAAATATGGGTTAAATGTGCATTTATCCAATAAACATTAAAATGCTGAAAAACAGGGATAATTTGTAAATTAAATATGTAGACTTGTGACTAATAATTAAAATTGTAGAAGTTAAAAATATCCTATTGCAAATTCATTCCGCTATGGCTTATAGAAAAACATGTTTCTTTTCTGTACTACCTCATTTTTCTAATAAAATAGTTCTCCATGTCTTCATACCTTCTGCATTAAACTCTGTACATTTCTATTTCTATGCGAATTGGATTTTTATGCAATTTTGTTCAAACCAATCCTTTTTCCATATATTTTCTTTGAAAAATGTTATATATTTAGCACTTTATTTGAAAAATGGTGCACAAACTTTATCTTCTTAACTATCTTTATATCATAATTTTGACAGTTTTGTATTATACTTTGTTTCATTTTCCCAAAACGAGGATCAACCACA